TTATCACAACTATCACAAACAGCATCATCATTATCACAACTATCACAAACAGCATCATCATTATCACAACTATCACAAACAGCATCATCATTGTCACAACTATCACAAAGAGCATCATCATTTTCACAACTATCACAAACATCATCATCATTATCACAACTATCACAAACAAAATCATCATCATCACAACTATCGCAAACAGCATCATCATTATCACACATATCACAAACAGCATCATCATTATCACAACTATCACAAACAGCATCATCATTATCACAACTATCACAAACAGCGTCATCATTATTACAACTTTCACAAACATCATCATCATCATCACGGTCAACACCATCCTCATCCAAATCATTGTCGCATACCAATGTGATTCTGCAGGGGGAGAGAAAATAGATTGAGAGGGGGAGAGAGAGAGAGAGAGAGAGAGAGAGAGAGAGAGAGAGAGAGAGAGAGAGAGAGAGAGAGAGAGAGAGGGGGAGGGAGGGAGGAAAAACAAAGAGAGATGGGAAGAAAATCTTTTTAAGAAAGAGAAACCTCTGGAGATGTTTGTTTGTATCCATGGCGAGGTAACTGTAATGAAGGTAATGCTCACTTAAACTGTCCTTCACCGAAAAGAAATGCATTGTTTTACTATGTATTATTATTATTTACTTTCTATTAATTATTGACTATTTAATATGCACATGTCACTGGGTTGACATCTTGATCACAGAAATATGCACATGTCACTGGGTTGACATCTTGATCACAGAAATATGCACATGTCACTGGGTTGACATCTTGATCACAGAAATATGCACATGTCACTGGGTTGACATCTTGATCACAGAAATATGCACATGTCACTGGGTTGACATCTTGATCACAGAAATATGCACATATCACTGGGTTGACATCTTGATCACAGAAATATGCACACGTCACTGGGTTGACATCTTGATCACAGAAATATGCACACGTCACTGGGTTGACATCTTGATCACAGAAATATGCACATGTCACTGGGTTGACATCTTGATCACAGAAATATGCACATGTCACTGGGTTGACATCTTGATCACAGAAATATGCACATGTCACTGGGTTGACATCTTGATCACAGAAATATGCACATGTCACTGGGTTGACATCTTGATCACAGAAATATGCCCATGTCACTGGGTTGACATCTTGATCACAGAAATATGCACATGTCACTGGGTTGACATCTTGATCACAGAAATATGCACATGTCACTGGGTTGACATCTTGATCACAGAAATATGCACATGTCACTGGGTTGACATCTTGATCACAGAAATATGCACATGTCACTGGGTTGACATCTTGATCACAGAAATATGCACATGTCACTGGGTTGACATCTTGATCACAGAAATATGCACATGTCACTGGGTTGACATTTTGATCACAGAATAAGTCAGGCTATCTGTTCTAAGCTACAGTTTTAGCTGCACAGACACACTCTCAAAGGCGAAATTAAGTAAAAAATTGACCTGGTACCATGTCCAGTGTAATTGTTATGTGTTAAATCTTACACATGCGAATTGATCATGCCTCAACACTAGTGTGTACTTTCATAGAGAACAAGTAATAATGATGTGTTGTATCTTGTGTGACAGTGTTAGTAACAGTAAAACTGAACTATTGACTGGAACAGAAACTACTCAATATCTGGTCTGGTAGTCTGGTAGTCTTAGTTTCAGCTTCATAGCAAACGGGTCACCCCATCTTTGCTCCGCTCCTGTGCTAACAAAAAACACACAGAATGTTTATCACAGTATTAGAATTGCAGTTCATCATTGATGGTAGCAGAAGTCGCCAACAGATCAGCAGTTGCCCACGCGATCAATTTTAATCACATACGGGCACCACAACACTGCACGACAGGCATGGCGCCATTTTCTGAATCTACAATACACACCAACACATTGGTCACAGTCGAAAAAACATTTCAAAAGCAATCCGCAGCTCACAGGATCACGCCATGCATTCAACTCAGAAGCTGGGCGACGAAACTATATCCAGTCTACAAATGGAGCAAAAATGCATCGGCCACCGTCTGGCAGAAGCAAAAAAAAAAAATTGCCTCTGTTTCGAACAGTGCCGCTGCCTAATGTCCATTTTGACCGAAAGAGCCGGAAGTCACTCAGTATCTGATCTGTAGAGCTACCAGTTGACAAAACATCGACATACATGCTGGAGAATACCATATTTGAAACATACAGTCACTGCAGGATGCAACAACAGTTACTGGACAGACAATGATTTACTTTCACATGATAGGAATTTAGTCAACACAGGTTCATTATATTATTATAATAAGGTGATAATTCAGTTGTGTTGGTATAAGTAGAAAAACTGCAGGTGTGAACTTGAAAAATGTCTTTGACCGTGAACTGGTTTCTGTTTCAGCGCCCACAACCACCACAACCACCACAACCACCACAACCACCACTAGAGGTATGTTTACAATGTTTATTGTTTATCTGTGAGTCTTTACCCACCCACAACCACCACTAGAGGTATGTTTACAATGTTTATTATTTATTTGTGAGTCTCTACCCACCCACAACCACCACCAGAGGTATGTTTACAATGTTTATTGTTTATTTGTGAGTCTCTACCCACCCACAACCACCACCAGAGGTATGTTTACAATGTTTATTATTTATTTGTGAGTCTCTACCCACCCACAACCACCACCATATGTATGTTTACAACGTTTATTGTTTATCTGTGAGTCTCTACCCACCCACAACCACCACTAGAGGTATGTTTACAACGTTTATTGTTTATCTGTGAGTCTCTACCCACCCACAACCACCACTAGAGGTATGTTTACAATGTTTATTGTTTATCTGTGAGTCTTTACCCACCCACAACCACCACTAGTGGTATGCTTACAATGTTTATTGTTTTTCTGTGAGTCTCTACCCACCCAGAACGACCATCCGGTCCACCAGGGTAGTACTTGGTGCAGTCATTACGGTGCACTCATTACAACTTTTTGTGGGGTTGGACCCGGTCTCTGGGTTTGTCTTGTTAAAGTCACAGCCAGGGTGCATCTCTTCAATTCATTAGGATGGTCCTCTGCAGATATAGCAGAAGGGATTCAAAGCAGCAAGTCTTTAATTTTTAATAATTTATTATTGTTATACTCTATATGGTCTTTTAAAAACATATTTTCGCTGATTTTTTTAAGAACATGCAAGCTAATCTGTCTTTACTAATGTGCATGCTGATCTGTCTACTAATGTGTCTACTGATCTGTCTACCAGTGTTTCTACTGATCTCTCTACCAGTGTTTGTTTGCTCATCTATCCATTAATGTATCTACTGATATGTCTACCAATGTGTCAACTGATCTGTCTACCGGTGTGTCTACTAATCTATCTACCAATATTTATGTTGATCTGTCTACCGATGTGGCTACTGATCTGTTTACCAAAATGTCTACTGACCTGTCTACCAATGTTTCTACTGACCTGTCTACCAGTGTGTCTGCTGATCTGTCTACCAATGTGTCCACTGATCTGTCTACCAGTGTGTCTACTGATCTGTCTACCAATGTGCCTTCTGATCTGTCTACCAATGTGTCTGCTAATCTGTCTACCAATGTGTCTACGTCTCTGTCTACCAATGTTTCTGCTCATCTGTCTACCAATGTGTCTACTGATCTGTCAACCAATGTGTCTACTGATCTGTCTACCAGTGTGTCTGCTGATCTGTCTACCAGTGTGTCTACTAAACTATCTACCAATATTTCTGTTGATCTTTTTACCAATGTGTCTACTGATCTGTCTACCAAAATGTCTACTGACCTGTCTAACAATGTGTCTACTGATCTATCTACCAATGTGTCTACTGGCTTGTCAACTAAAATATCTACTGACGTGAATACCAATATGTCTACTAATCTGTTTACCAATGTGTCTACTGATCTGTCTACTAATGTGTCTGCTTATCTGTCTACCAGTGTGTCTACTGACCTGTCTACCAGTGTGTCTACTGATCTGTCTACCAATATGTCTGCTGATCTGTCTACCAGTGTGTCTACTGATCTGTCTACCAGTGTGTCTCCTGATCTGTCTACCAATGTGTCTACTGATCTGTCTACCAGTGTGTCTACTGATCTATCTACTAATAAATCTGTTGATCATTCTACCAGTGTGACTCCTGTTCTGTGTGCTAACATGCCTACTGTTCTGTGTGCTAACATGCCTACTGTTCTGTGTGCTAACATGCCTACTGTTCTGTTTGCTAAAATGCCTACTGTTCTGTGTGCTAACATGCCTACTTTTCTGTGTGCTAACATGCCTACTGTTCTGTGTGCTAACATGCCTACTGTTCTGTGTGCTAACATGCCTACTGTTCTGTGTGCTAACATGCCTACCGTTCTGGGTGCTAACATGCCTACTGTTCTGTGTGCTAACATGCCTACTGTTCTGTGTGCTAACATGCCTACTGTTCTGTTTGCTAACATGCCTACTGTTCTGTGTGCTAACATGGCTACTGTTCTGTGTGCTAACATGCCTACTGTTCTGTGTGCTAACATGCCTACTGTTCTGTGTGCTAACATGCCTACTGTTCTGTTTGCTAACATGCCTACTGTTCTGTTTGCTAACATGCCTACTGTTCTGTGTGCTAACATGCCTACTGTTCTGTGTGCTAACATGCCTACTGTTCCGTGTGCTAACATGCCTACTGTTCTGTGTGCTAACATGCCTACTGTTCTGTGTGCTAACATGCCTACTGTTCTGTGTGCTAACATGCCTACTGTTCTGTTTGCTAACATGCCTACTGTTCTGTGTGCTAACATGCCTACTGTTCCGTTTGCTAACAGGCCTACTGTTCTGTGTGCTAACATGCCTACTGTTCTGTTTGCTAACATGCCTACTGTTCTGTGTGCTAACATGCCTACTGTTCTGTTTGCTAACATGCCTACTGTTCTGTGTGCTAACATGCCTACTGTGCTGTGTGCTAACATGCTACTGTTCTGTGTGCTAACATATCTACTGTTCTGTGTGCTAACATGCCTACTGTTCTGTTTGCTAACATGCCTACTGTTCTGTGTGCTAACATGCCTACTGTTCTGTGTGCTAACATGCCTACTGTTCTGTGTGCTAACATGCCTACTGTTCTGTGTGCTAACATGCCTACTGTTCTGTGTGCTAACATGCCTACTGTTCTGTGTGCTAACATGCCTACTGTTCTGTGTGCTAACATGCCTACTGACGTTTGCAGGACCAGAATGCTGGAAATATGTGGCGGCTGACATTTATACTCTGGCCGACGCCTCCAACAGCATCTTCCCTGTGGGGTGGGGGCGTGAGCTGGCATTTATCGCCAACCTGGCCAAGGCTTTCATCCTGGGGCCCAAAGACGTGCAGGTCGCCTTCGGCATTTTCAGCACCAAGTTCGAGCACATCATAGATTTAAACAGATATACAGACAGTGATCAATTTGCTGCGGTAAGATCTGGCACTGACACTAGATTTAGACAGATATACAGACAGTGATCAATTTGCTGAGGTAAGATATGGCACTGACACTAGATTTAGACAGATATAAAGACAGTGATCAATTTGCTGCGGTAAGATATGGCACTGACACTAGATTTAGACAGATATACAGACAGTGATCAATTTGCTGCGGTAAGATATGGCACTGATACTAGATTTAGACATATATACAGACAGTGATCAATTTGCTGTGGTAAGATCTGGCACTGACACTAGATTTAGACAGATATACAGACAGTGATCAATTTGCTACGGTAAGATCTGGCTCCGACACTAGATTTTAGTATGTTGTTACCTAAGCTTGTAATTAATTCCCATCGGTGAAGTGGTCGAGAAATGACTGATGTCATGACTGTGTTTGGTCAAGGAACGACTGATGTCATGACTGTGTTTGGTCAAGAAATGACTGATGTCATGACTGTGTTTGGTCAAGAAATGACTGATGTCATGGCTGTGTTTGGTCAAGAAACGACTGATGTCATGATTGTGTTTGGTCAAGGAATGACTGATATCATGACTGTGTTTGGTCCAGAAATGACTGATGTCATAACTGTGTTTGGTAAAGAAACGACCGATTTCATGACTGTGTTTGGTCCAGAAATGACTGATGTCATGACTGTGTTTGGTCAAGAAATGACTGATGTCATGACTGTGTTTGGTCAAGAAATGACTGATGTAATGTCTGTGTTTGGTCAAGAAACGACTGATGTCATGACTGTGTTTCTTGGATATGTCTAAATTTAGACATTTGAGCAATATTAGCTCTGCTTGTTCTGGCTGCGTCTAATTTCTTTGTGAATACACGAGGAAGCCATCTCTGTCACACACAGAAAACACAGCTCACAACTTTTCTGTTGTTTCCTTTGTCTATTATGTCGTCAGCGGGAAGCCTAAAACTCTGTGACCTGATTTGTTGAGTTTTCTTTTTCCATGGTCATCAATTTGGCTTACACTGGGAGTTTCACACTAGGAAGGGGGGGGGGCGGGGTTACATCTGAAAGGTCTGGACCCCTTGAACATGCACAAATATCTTATCATACTCACAGAGAACTAGCACACCACTGTACTCCCACACACAAACACAGAACAGTACCCAAGCTTAACTAACAAGCATGTGTACTCTCTCTCTCTCTCTCTCTCTCTCTCTCTCTCTCTCTCTCTTACATATAAATGTACACACACAACTACATACACGCAGAACTATATACACACATAACAGTACACATACACAATTATTTGCACACACAACTATACGCACACACAACTGATCAGCATCTGTGCTAACTTACACATACACTCGCTCAGACTCCTAACAAACACCGGTACTCATACACAACTTGTGCGCGCACGCACACACACTCACACTCATTCACTCGCACAGACAACTAACAAACACATGTACTCATACACAACTTGTGCGCGCACGCACACACACTTACACTCATTCACTCGCACAGACAACTAACAAACACTGGTACTCATACACAACTTGTGCGTGCACGCACAAACACTCACACTCATTCACTCGCACAGACAACTAACAAACACCGGTACTCATACACAACTTGTGCGCGCACGAACACACACTCACACTCATTCACTCGCACAGACAACTAACAAACACATGTACTCACACACAACTTACACAAATACACACACTCACTCTGACGCACTGCTAACAAACATGTGTACTCACACACAACTTACACACATATGCACCTGCTCACATCGACAAGTAACAAACCCCTGTACTCACACATAACTTACACAGAGAAATTCACGCAACTGCTCACATCGACAAGTAACAAACCCCTGTACTCACACATAACTTACACAGAGAAATTCACGCAACTGCTCACACTGACAACATTCAAACACCTGCACTCACCCACCACTTACATACATATGCACACACACACATACACACACACACATGCACACCTGCTCGTACTGACACATAACAACCGCATGTACGCACCCACAACTTACATGCACAAGCACACACACACACCCACAATCACACCTGCTCATACTGACACCTAAAAATCACCTGTACTCACCTAAAACTTACATGCACAAGCACACCCACACACACACACACATACACAAACACCCACACACACCCACACCTGCTCACACTGACACCTAACAATCACCTGTACTGACCCACAACATACATGCACTAGCACACACACACACACACCCACACCTGCTCATACTGACACCTAACAATCGCCTGTACTCACCCACAACTTACATACACACACACACCCACACACACACACCCACACACACCCACACTCACACAAGCTCATACTGACACCTAACAATCGCCTGTACTCACCCACAACTTACATGCACAAGCACACACACACACACACCCACACTCACACCTGCTCACACTGACACCTGCTCATACTGACGCCTAACCATCACCTGTACTCACCTTCAGGATGTCCTAGGCACCACACAGCTGCGAGAGCTCACCTTTACCTACGATGCCCTGATTGCGATCAACCGTGAAGGTTACCTGACCAACTCATCTCGCGGTGCCAGACCTAACAAGCCCAAAGTGCTGATAGTGATAACAGATGGGCAGTCAGATAACATCACCAAAAGTAAGTGTTCAACCATTGCCCTAAGGCATTTATATGTGTTTATCTTGTTCAATCATAACCCTAGGGCATTTATAAGTGTTTATCTCGTTGAATCAAAACCTTACGGCATTTATAAGTGTTTATCTTGTTCAATCATAGCCTTAAGGCATTTATAAGTGTTTATCTTGTTCAATCATAGCCTTAATGCATTTATACGTGTATCTTGTTCAATCATAGCCTTAAGGCATTTATAAATGTTTATCTTGTTCAATCATAGCCCTAAGGCATTTATAAGTATTTTGTTCAATCAAAGCCTTAAGGCATTTATAAGTGTCTATCTTGTTGAATCAAAGCCCTAAGACATAATAAGTTTTTAATCCTGTTCAATCGAAGCCTTAAGGCATATATAAGTGTTTATCTTGTGGAATCAAAGCCCTAAGGCTTTTATAAGTGTTTATCTTGTACAATCGTAGCCTTAAGGCATTTATAAATGTTTATCTTGTTGAGTCATAACCTTTAGGCATTTGTAAGTGTTTTATGTTGTTTGATTGTAAAGTTTAGGCAAATGTAAGCGTTTTATATTGTTTGATTGTTACCTTTATTCATATGTAAGCATTTTATGTTGTTTGATAAAAACCTTTAGGCATATGTGGGTGTTTTATGTTGTTTGACTATAACATTTAGGCATTTGTAACTGTTTTACGTTGTTTGATTGAAACCTTTAGGCATGTGTAAGTGTTTTATATTGTTTGATTATAACCTTTAGGCATATGTAAGCATTTTATGTTGTTTGATTATAACCTTTAGGCATATGTAAGCATTTTATGTTGTTTGATTATAACCTTTAGGCATATGTAGTTTTTTTTTTCTGTACTAAGTGACACATGCTCCATGACTGAGAGCTTTGTGAAATGCTCCATGACTGAGAGCTTTGTGAAATGCTCCATGACTGAGAGCTTTGTGAAATGCTCCATGACTGAGAGCTTTGTGAAATGCTCCATGACTGAGAGCTTTGTGAAATGCTTCATGACTGAGAACTTTGTGAAATGCTCCATGACTGAGAGCTTTGTGAAATGCTCCATGACTGAGAACTTTGTGAAATGCTCCATGACTGAGAACTTTGTGAAATGCTCCATGACTGAGAGCTTTGTGAAATGCTCCATGACTGAGAGCGGTGTGAAATGCTTCATGACTGAGAGCGGTGTGAAATGCTCCATGACTGAGAGCGGTGTGAAATGCTCCATGACTGAGAGTGGTGTGAAATGCTCCATGACTGAGAGAAGTGTGTTAACACAGAGAAATATGCATGCTGCTAAAGTTTGTAGAGTAATTTGCTCCTGTTGAAAGATAAGCTTAACTTTCTTTGTAAACATGAGAGGACAGAAAGTTGAAATCAGCAGGCACTTGGAAATGTTACCTTGAAACCAGAACCTTGCGCTCAGTGAATGTCTGCACTTATTGGACATATGGCTTTGTGCAAACATGCCATTTGTTTGGTAGAGACACTCCTGGCTGCTAGGTTTCAGTTAGCTACAGAAGGAAGGGCTTGAAATACGACCTTCTTAAACAAAACTGTCATCTCATTGAACAAATGTGGACCTCGGGATGATGGCAATGAGATGTGGGTTGTGTGGAGATGGTGGCAAAGTTCACATGGAAGATGTGGTTTGTGTGGAGAAAGTTGCAGGTTTTACACAGTAGATGTGGCTTGTGTGGAGAAAGTAGCAGGGTTCAAATAGTAGATGTGGCTTGTGTGGAGAAAGTGGCAGGTTTTACAAAGTAGATGTGGCTTGTGTGGAGAAAGTGGCAGGTTTTACACAGTAGATGTGGCTTGTGTGGAGAAAGTGGCAGGTTTTACACAGTAGATGTGGCTTGTGTGGAGAAAGTAGCAGGGTTCACATAGTAGATGTGACTTGTGTGGAGAAAATGGCAATGTTCACACAGTAGATGTGGCTTGTGTGGAGAAAGTGGCAGGGTTCACACAGGAGATATGGATTGTGTGGGAAATGTGGCAGAGTTCACATAGTAGAGGTGGCTTGTGTGTGAAAAGTTTAGGGTTCACATAGTAGATTTGGCTTGTGTGGAAAAAGTGCAGGGTTCGCATAGTGGATGTGGCTTGTGTGGAAAAAGTGCAGGGTTCACATAGTAGAAGTGGCTTATGTGGGAAAAGTGCTGGTTCACATAGTAGATGTGGCTTGTGTGGAGAAAGTGGCAGGGTTCACATAGTAGATGTGGCTTGTGTGGGAAAAGTGCAGGGTTCACATAGTAAATGTAGCTTGTGTGGGAAAAGTGCAGGGTTCACATAGTATATGTGGCTTGTGTGGAGAAAGTGGCAGGGTTCACATAGTAGATGTGGCTTATGTGGGAAAAGTGCAGGTTTCACATAGTAGATTTGGCTTGTGTGGAGAAAGTGGCAGGGTTCACATAGTAGATGTGGCTTGTGTGGAAAAAGTGCAGGGTTCACATAGTAGGTGTGGCTTGTGTGGGAAAAGTGCAGGGTTCACATAGTAGACGTGGCTTGTGTGGGAAAAGTGCGGGTTCACATAGTAGATGTGGCTTGTGTGGAGAAAGTGGCAGGGTTCACATAGTAGATGTGGCTTGTGTGGAGAAAGTGGCAGGGTTCACATAGTAGATGTGACTTATGTAGAAAAAGTGGCAGGGTTCACATAGTAGATGAAGCTTATGTAGAAAAAGTGGCAGGGTTTACATGGTAGATGTGGCTTGTGTGGAGAAAGTGCAGGGTTCACATAGTAGATGTAGCTTATGTAGAAAAAGTGGCAGGGTTTACATGGTAGATGTGGCTTGTGTGGAGAAAGTGCAGGTTTCACATAGTAGATGTAGCTTATGTAGAAAAAGTGGCAGGGTTTACATGGTAGATGTGGCTTGTGTGGAGAAAGTGCAGGTTTCACATAGTAGATGTAGCTTATGTAGAAAAAGTGGCAGGGTTTACATGGTAGATGTGGCTTGTGTGGAGAAAGTGCAGGTTTCACATAGTAGATGTAGCTTATGTAGAAAAAGTGCAGGGTTTCATGCTATAGTGGCTTGTGTGGAGAAAGTGCAGGTGTAGCTAGTAGATGTATTATGTAGAAAAAGTGGCAGGGTTTACATGGTAGATGTGGCTTGTGTGGAGAAAGTGCAGGTTTCACATAGTAGATGTAGCTTATGTAGAAAAAGTGGCAGGGTTTACATGCTAGATGTGGCTTGTGTGGAGAAAGTGCAGGTTTCACATAGTAGATGTAGCTTATGTAGAAAAAGTGGCAGGGTTTACATGGTAGATGTGGCTTGTGTGGAGAAAGTGCAGGTTTCACATAGTAGATGTAGCTTATGTAGAAAAAGTGGCAGGGTTTACATGCTAGATGTGGCTTGTGTGGAGAAAGTGCAGGGTTCACATAGTAGATGTAGCTTATGTAGAAAAAGTGGCAGGGTTTACATGGTAGATGTGGCTTGTGTGGAGAAAGTGGCAAAGTTTAATTGCATGGGTTCCTACTTGTATGGGTGAGTGTGTGTGAATGGTTTTGTGTGTGTGTGTATGTGCGTGTGTGTGTGTGTGAGTGTGTGTGAATGGTGTGTGTGTGTGTGTGTCGGGGGGGGGGGGAGGACAAACCCATTGTGTTTAGAAGTCAGTGAGTTATTTCATTAGCTCTCAGTCATGTGGAAGTGGCGGTGGTTTAGTGGCTAGACTTTGTCTGGTGATTCAAAGGATTTGGGTTCAGGTCCTAACAGAGCTAGTTGGTAGGTATTTGTACACCCCACCAGAACATCACACATGGTAGGTAGGTAGTTGTACACCCCACCAGGACATCACACATGGTAGGTAGGTAGTTGTACACCCCACCAGGACATCACACATGGTAGGTAGGTAGTTGTACACCCCACCAGGACATCACACATGGTAGGTAGGTAGTTGTACACCCCACCAGGACATCACACATGGTAGGTAGGTAGTTGTAAACCCCACCAGGACATCACACATGGTAGGTAGGTAGCTGTACACCCCACCAGGACATCATACATGGTAGGTAGGTAGTTGTATCCCACCAGGACATCACACATGGTAGGTAGGTAGTTGTACACCCCACCAGGACATCACACATGGTAGGTAGGTAGTTGTATCCCACCAGGACATCACACAAGGTAGGTAGGTAGTTTTACACCCCACCAGGACATCACACAAGGTAGGTAGGTAGTTGTACACCCCACCAGGACATCACACATGGTAGGTAGGTAGTTGTATCCCACCAGGACATTACACATGGTAGGTAGGTAGTGGTACACCCAACCAGGACATCACACATGGTAGGTAGGTAGTTGTACACCCCACCAGGACATCACACATGGTAGGTAGTTGTACACCCCACCAGGACATCATACATGGTAGGTAGGTAGTTGTACACCCCACCAAGACATCACACATGGTAGGTAGGTAGTTGTATCCCACCAGGACATCACACAAGGTAGGTAGGTAGTTTTACACCCCACCATGACATCACACAAGGTAGGTAGGTAGTTGTACACCCCACCAGGACATCACACATGGTAGGTAGGTAGTTGTATCCCACCAGGACATCACACATGGTAGGTAGGTAGTTGTATCCCACCAGGACATCACACATGGTAGGTAGGTAGTTGTATCCCACCAGGACATCACACATGGTAGGTAGGTAGTTGTACACCCCACCAGGACATCATACATGGTAGGTAGGTAGTTGTATCCCACCAGGACATCATACATGGTAGGTAGGTAGTGGTACACCCAACCAGGACATCACACATGGTAGGTAGGTAGTTGTATCCCACCAGGACATCACACATGGTAGGTAGGTAGTTGTACACCCCACCAGGACATCATACATGGTAGGTAGGTAGTGGTACACCCAACCAGGACATCACACATGGTAGGTAGGTAGTTGTATCCCACCAGGACATCACACATGGTAGGTAGGTAGTTGTATCCCACCAGGACATCACACATGGTAGGTAGGTAGTTGTATCCCACCAGTACATCACACAAGCCATAAACACCCGATGACACAAAGTGCCACCATGCGGATGAGGATCACCTGTGGAGAGGTCCCAGAAACCCCTTTCAGCTGGTATGACCATATCTATGCCCCGGCTACATTCAGGGCCCCTGGCAAAAGCCAGGGTGGGGCTTCAAACAAAAAAAATTGCATATCACAAAGGGACGGCTTATAGGAGCTGGAGTTTCAAACAACAAAAATGACCTTGGCTCCAAGGTCAACCCTCAGATAGGTACTAGGTAGAGTATTGCGAAGCAAATGTGGCCAGCGGTTTGCTAAACACATCAGCCAGCCACTGAGTGCCGAGTGGTCTATAAAATATGTGTGTCTATCACTGTATGGCCCATATGCTTGATAACTTTGAAAATGGTCCTTTACTTTGCTTCCCAGTTATGTGGATGAATTCACGGTTGCCTCCCCTGTGTGGTACTCTGGTGGGGAAAAATATCAATAATTCTAGGAACAAAGATAAACGGTTTCTCTGTCTCTTCTTTGTAATGTCTGTTTCATCACATAGAGCTTTCACCTAATCTGCTTTATCATACAGTAGCTTACCACCCAGAGGAGCAGCAGCAGGTAATCTATACGCCTGCTTGTTTGCCCGTGTGGTAGCCATGTTTTAGAAGGCTTGTTCTTCTACCATCTACCCCATATTAGAGTTCAGGGGTCATATGTGTTGCCTTCTCATGCAACTGACCCCTTGTCCTCCCCACATTCTCCTCTGTTTCCACTCTTCCTATACTTTTAGATCCAGTTGATTTATGTTACTCTGTAGGTTCCAGGGCAGTGATATTCTAATAACTCAATTGTTATTGTTTGTCAAAACTTGTGCCATCCAGCCTGGACTTTTACTCAGCCTACCTGTTCAGATTTAGTGACCTGTCTCTAAAAGTTACACAATAACCAACTGGTGTCAACAGAAATAATATAACATTGAGAATCAGACGTGGAAGGTTGACGTTTCTCATGTCCTACAGCACTGCAGGCTGCTGAAGACCTCAGGAAACAGAATATCACTATTTTTGCTATCGGCGTGGGCATCACCAATCTAGTGGAACTTCAGGGCATTGCCAGCGGACCAGAGAGTGTCTTCAGTGTCAAAAACTTTGCAGCTTTGGACTCCATCCGTGACCAGATCACTACCACAGTCTGTGAAGGTGAGTACAGTTGTGTCATCACTGACATCATAACACGAAACATTTAGGCCAGGTCTGGTGCCATGTTTTACTTGTCATATAGCTGTCTTCAAGTCACTTCAAACAGGCTCATCCACCATTTGGCATCACATGACACAAACAACTTATTCATTCCACTGCACTATACACATTCATCAAACATTTTCCTCCACAAACTGCACAATAAACATTCATCCAACATTTCCTATCACAAGCTGCAGTATACACATTCACCCAACATTTCCCGTCACAAACTGCACAATACACATTCACCTAACATTTCCTATTACAAGCTGCACTATACACATTCACCTAACATTTTCTATTACAAGCTGCACTATACACATTCACCCAACATTTCCTATTACAAGCTGCACTATACACATTCACCCAACATTTCCTATTACAAGCTGCACTATACACATTCACCCAACATTTCCCGTCACAAACTGCACTATACACATTCACCTAACACTTCCTATCACAAGATGCACTATACACATTCACCCAACATTTCCTATTACAAGATGCACTATACACATTCACCCAACATTTCCTATTACAAGATGCACTATACACATTCACCCAACATTTCCTATTACAAGATGTACTATACACATTCACCCAACATTTCCTATTACAAGCTGCACTATACACATTCACCCAACATTTCCCGTCACAAACTGCACTATACACATTCACCCAACATTTCCTATTACAAGATGCACTATACACATTCACCTAACACTTCCTATTACAAGATGCACTATACACATTCACCCAACATTTCCTATTACAAGATGCACTATACACATTCACCCAACATTTCCTATTACAAGATGCACTATACACATTCACCCAACATTTCCTATTACAAGCTGTACTATACACATTCACCCAACATTTCCAATTACAAGCTGCACTATACACATTCACCCAACATTTCCATAACAAGCTGCACTATACACATTCACCCAACATTTCCTATTAAAAGCTGCACTATACACATTCACCCAACATTTCCTATTACAAGCTGCACTATACACATTCACCCAACATTTCCCATCACAAACAGCACTATACACATTCACCCAACATTTCCTATTACAAGCTGCACTATACACATTCACCCAACATTTCCTATTACAAGCTGCACTATACACATTCACCCAACATTTCCCGTCACAAACTGCACTATACACATTCACCCAACATTTCCTATTACAAGCTGCACTATACACATTCACCCAACATTTCCTATTACAAGCTGCACTATACACATTAACCCAACATTTCCCGTCACAAACTGCACTATACACATTCACCCAACATTTCCTATTACAAGATGCACTATACACATTCACCTAACACTTCATATTACAAGATGCACTATACACATTCACCCAACATTTCCTATTACAAGATGCACTATACACATTCATCTAACACTTCCTATTACAAGCTGCACTATACACATTCACCTAACATTTCCAGTTATAAGCTGCACTATACAAATTCACCCAACATTTCCAGTTACAAGCTGTACTATACACATTTACCCAACATTTTCCATAACAAGCTGCACTATACACATTCACCCAACATTTCCTATTACAAGCTGCACTTTACACATTTATCCAACATTTCCTATTACAAGCTGCACTTTACACATTTATCCAACATTTCCTATTACAAGCTGCACTTTACACATTCACCCAACATTTCCTATTACAAGCTGCACTATACACATTCATCCAACATTTTCTATTACAAGCTGCACTATACACATTTATCCAACATTTCCTATTACAAGATGCACTATACACATTCATCCAACATTTTCCATAACAAGCTACACTATACACTTTTACCCAATACTTCATGTGACTTGCCACTTGTCAGGCAAGATAGTTTAAAAAATGCTCACTTTTATTCAAACTTTCTAACCATGCATCAAATGTCAGACACGACTGTGTCACGTCTATCATCTGGATATCAAGTTGTGAGACACATGACTGTGTCACGTCTATCATCTGGATATCAAGTTGTGTGACACACGACTGTGTCACGTCTATCATGTGGATATCAAGTTGTGTGACACACGACTGTGTCACGTCTATCATCCGGATATCAAGTTGTGTGACACATGACTGTGTCACGTCTATCATCTGGAAATCAAGTTGTGTGACACACGACTGTGTCACGTCTATCATCTGGATATCAAGTTGTGTGACACATGACAAGCATGTTTGTGTGTACCATATGTGTGGTAGGCAAAATCAGAGACCACATTATTCTGTTCACATTTACCACATGTCAATCACAATGCTGTGTTCTTGAATGCCCTGCATTTTCTCACTGCATTTGTTGTGCGTACAGCCCAGTGACTGGACACTCATGAAGCCCATTGACTGGACACTCATGAAGCCTAGAGATTGCACACTCATAAAGCTTAGTGACTGGACACTTATAAAGTCTAGAGACTGGACACTCATGAAGCCTAGAGACTTTACACTCATGAAGCCTAGAGAATGGGCATTCATGAAGCCTAGAGATTGGACACTCATGAAGTCCAGAGACTGGACACTTATAAAGCCTGGAGACTGGGCACTTATGAAGCCTAGTTACTGGACACTCATAAAGCCCATTGACTGGACACTCATGAAGCCCAGTGACTGGACACTCATGAAGCCTAGAGACTGGACACTCATGAAGCCTAGAGACTGGACACTCATGAAGCCTAGTGGCTGGACACTCATGAAGCCTAGTGGTGGACACTAACAGAAGCCCAGTGACTGGACACACATGAAGCCCAATGACTGGACACTCATGAAATCTAGAGACTGGACACTCATGAAGTCTAGTGGCTGGACACTGACAGAATCCCAGTGGTAGACACTGACAGAAGCCCAGTGGTGGACAACCACAGATGCCCAGTAGTGGTCACTCACAGAAGCCTAGTGGTGGACACTGACAGAAGCCCAGTGGTGGACACTGACAGAAGCCCTGTGGTGGACACTGACAGAAGCCCAGTGGTGGACACCAACAGAAGCCCAGTGGTGGACACTGACAGAAGCCTAGTGGTGGACAATGACAGAAGCCCAGTGGTGGACACTGACAGAAGCCTAGTGGAGGACAATGACAGAAGCCCTTGGGTGGACACTTACAGAAGCCCAGTGGTGGACACTGACAGAAGCCCAGTGGTGGAGACTCACATAAGCCCAGTGGTGGACACTCACAGAAGCCCAGTGGTGGACACCCACAGAAGCCCAACGGTGGACACCCACAGAAGCCCAGAGGTGGACACTTACAGAAGCCCAGTGGTGGATACTGACAGAAGCCCAGTGGTGGACACTGACAGAAGCCTAGTGGTGGACACTGACAGAAGCCCAGTGGTGGAGACTCACATAAGCCCAGTGGTGGACACTCACAGAAGCCTAGTGGTAGACACTGACAGAAGCCCAGTGGTAGACATTCACAGAAGCCCAGTGGTGGACACTGACAGAAGCCCAGTGGTGGACACTGACAGAAGCCCAGTGGTAGACATTCACAGAAGCCCAGTGGTGGACACTCACAGAATCCCAGTGGTGGACACTCACAGAAACCCAGTAGTGGACACTCACAGAAGCCCAGTGCTGGACACTCACAGAAACCCAGTGGTGGACACTCACAGAAACCCAGTAATGGACACTCCCAGAAACCCAGTGGCTTCCTGCTGACAGAAAGTCTTGGGTGTTAATTCTCACCAGGTACATATTTGATCATCGACCTTGACTCCATGGTTGACCTAATCTAAAATGGGAACCCGAAAATATTCAGGGAAATCAAGGTGGCTGGTGTGATACTGACCATATTATCCATCGATTGTCCACAGGTATATGAAAATATGAGTCTAATATCATATGCCCAAATGTACAATAATTTTGAAAAGGAGGACAGACTTGCTTTTTATTATTGAACATTTGATAACAGTTTATGATAATGTCAAGACTTGACTGTTATTGTTGAAAATTTGATACTAGCTTACGATAATGTCAAGACTTGATTGTTATTATTGAAGATTTGATACCAGCTTACGATAATGTCAAGACTTGATTGTTATTGTTGAACATTTGATACCAGCTTACGATAATGTCAAGACTTGATTATTATTGTTGAACATTTGATACTAGCTTACGATAATGTCAAGACTTGATTGTTATTGTTGAAGATTTGATACCAGCTTATGATAATGTCAAGACTTGATTGTTATTGTTGAAGATTTGATACCAGCATATGATAATGTCAAAACTTGATTATTATTGTTGAAGATTTTATAATGTCACTGTATAACATTTTAAGTTGTCTATAACTAAAGCCATGTTTTATTTCTTCTGTTTCTCTCTCTCTCTCTCTCTCCAGTGCCAATAATTCCTGGTAAGTACAGTGTGGTTTTTATATATCTATTTGTTTATATTAACATCATCATTATGTGCCTTTTTAAGCAGCTTAGGTACTCATGTGACTCCATAGATCTCTCTCAGTATTTCTAATCAACTCCGGGATGTTATTCGTTCATGCCTCCACTTTAGGCTTCAAGGTCTGTCCCTGCCTCTTCCACCATTGATCAATCCAGTCATCCCCACGATCTCCAATGTCTCTCTTCTCATCAAGGTCTGTCCCTGCCTCTTCCACCATTGATCAATCCAGTCATCCCCACGATCTCCAATGTCTCTCTTCTCATCAAGGTCTGTCCCTGCCTCTTCCACCATTGATCAATCCAGTCATCCCCACGATCTCCAATGTCTCTCTTCTCATCAAGGTCTGTCCCTGCCTCTTCCACCATTGATCAATCCAGTCATTCCCACAAACTCCAATGTCTCTCTTCTCATCAAGGTCTGTCCCTGCCTCTTCCACCATTGATCAATCCAGTCATCCGCACGATCTCCAATGTCTCTCTTCTCATCAAGGTCTGTCCCTGCCTCTTCCACCATTGATCAATCCAGTCATCCCCACGATCTCCAATGTCTCTCTTCTCTTCAAGGTCTGTCCCTGCCTCTTCCACCATTGATCAATCCAGTCATCCCCACGATCTCCAATGTCTCTCTTCTCATCAAGGTCTGTCCCTGCCTCTTCCACCATTGATCAATCCAGTCATCCCCACGATCTCCAATGTTTCTCTTCTCTTCAAGGTCTGTCCCTGCCTCTTCCACCATTGATCAATCCAGTCATCCCCACGATCTCCAATGTCTCTCTTCTCATCAAGGTCTGTCCCTGCCTCTTCCACCATTTATCAATCCAGTCATCCCCACGATCTCCAATGTCTCTCTTCTCTTCAAGGTCTGTCCCTGCCTCTTCCACCATTGATCAATCCAGTCATCCCCACGATCTCCAATGTCTCTCTTCTCTTCAAGGTCTGTCCCTGCCTCTTCCACCATTGATCAATCCAGTCATCCCCACGATCTCCAATGTCTCTCTTCTCATCACACAACCAGAGAACATTAGCCTCCTCTTTCTGACACTTGTACATGGTTTTTATATTTCTTTAGCCATTTCCAGGCAGCCATAGTTGGCCACTCCACCCGTGGTGTCTGCAGCATAAGTCTCAATAGCACACATCGATGGCCTCCAAGTTGTTCTTTATTTGCTCCCTCACATTCCAAGATTGACAACCATCAGCAGCAGGGATTCAACATCACGTTCATAGATTCACAGCCATACAGCAGCAGGGGTTCAACATCCCATTTATAGATTCACAGCCATACAGCAGCATGGGTTCACATCACGTTTATAGATTCACAACCATACAACAGCAGGGGCTTAACATCACGTTTATAGATTCACAGCCATACAGCAGCATGGGTTCACATCACGTTCATAGATTCACAGCCATACAGCAGCATGGGTTCACATCACGTTTATAGATTCACAACCATACAGCAGCAGGGGCCTAACATCACGTTTATAGATTCACAGCCATACAGCAGCATGGGTTCAACATCACGTTTATGGATTCCCAGCCTCTACCAGCACTGATTCAGCATCCTATTTCAGCACTAATTTTCTTACGTTTATTGAGAGAGATCTTATTGATCAAATATTTATCATGTACACAAATACCATCTTTGGTTACTTTTACTAATGACTTTTTATTTTGTGAGAATTTTTTATCATCTGTCGGTTATTATCAGCGATTTTTATTTTGTTAGTGTTTTTTGCAACTTCTTGTTAGCTTTACTTGTAACTTCAATTTCGGTGTGGTATTTTTAAAAGCGGCAGAGTTAGTGTACTGTACTGAGATCCTCCTTGTGTGACTGAAGATCCCTAGGAGTTATCTAAGTGCAGTGAAAGCAACCCTTCACCAAACACACAGCAAGCACCTACACCACAACCACGCTTGCAGCAACCAAATGTTTCAGTCTCCCAGACATGAAGTTGTTTATAGCCCAGATGACTTGCACGTTCAGATCTGACAGAATGCCATCATCACTAGGCGTCTCCATTAACATTTACTCTCAGAAGTTGCTCTTGTTATCTCATGTTTGTTGTTATATTGGTCATAGTAAACTACACATGCAGACACAAGCATAGACACACATGCAGACACACATATAGACACACAGTCAGACAAACACGTAGACACACATGCAGACATACACATAGACATTCTTGCAGACACACACATAGACACACATGCAGACACACACATAGACACACATGCAGACACACGTAGACACACATGCAGACACACGCGTAGACGCACATGCAGACACACATGTAGACACACACACAGACACACATGCAGACACACATGTAGACACACACGTAGACATACATGCACACACACACACATAGACACACATGCAGACACACATATACACACATGTAGACACACTCATAGACACACACATAGACATACATGCAGACACACACATAGAAACACATGCAGACACACATGCAGACACACACATAGACACACATTCAGACACACACATAGACCCAAATGCAGACACACATGGAGACACACATGCAGACACACATACACACACACACACACAAACATGCATACAACACAAACACTGATTGCTGAAAAAAGCAATAATAGGAAGAACAAACAGATGATGGCCAGATATAACAATAAAGGGAAGAACAAATGGATGATGGCCAGATAAAACAATAGAGGGAAGAACAAATGGATGATGGCCAGATATAACACTAAAGGGAAGAACAAATGGAGGATGGCCGGATGTAACAATAAAGGGAAGAACAAATCGATGATGGCCAGATATAACAATAAAGGGAAGAACAAACGGATAATGGCCAAATATAACAATAAAGGGAAGAACAAATGGATGATGGCCAGATATAACAAAAAAGGGAAGATCAAATGGATGATGGCCGGATATAACAATAAAATGAAGAATAAATGGATGATGTCCGAATATAACAATAAATGGAAGAACAAATGGATGATGGCCAGATATAACAATAAAGGGAAGAACAGATGGAGGATGGCCAGATATAACAATAAAGGGAAGAAGAACAATTGGGTGATAGCCAGATATAACAATAAAGTGAAGAACAAATGGATAATAGCCAAATATAACAATGACGGGAAGAACAAATCGATGATGGCCAAATATAACAATAAAGGGAAGAACAAATGGATGATGGCTAGATATAACAAAAAAGGGAAGAACAAATGGATGATGGCCAGATTTAACAAAAAAAAAAAAGGAAGAACAAAGGGATGATGGCAGATATAACAACAAAAGGAAGAACAAATGGATGATGGCCTGAAAAAACAATAAAGAGAAGAACAAATGGATGATGGCCAGATATAACAATAAAGGGAAGAAGAAATGGATAATGGCCAGATATAACAATAAAGGAAAGAACAAATGGATGATGGCCAGATATAACAATAAAGGGAAGAACAAATCGATGATGGCCAGATATAACAATAAAGGAAAGAACAAATGGATGATGGCCAGATATAACAATAAAGGGAAGAACAAATGGATGTTAGCAGATATAACAATAAAGAAAAGAACAAATGGATGATGGCAGATATAACAATAAAGAGAAGAACAAATGGATGATGGCCTGAAAAAACAATAAAGAGAAGAACAAATGGATGGTGGCCAGATATAACAATAAAGGGAAGAACAAATGGATAATGGCCAGATAAAACAATAAAGGGAAGAACAAATGGATGATGGCCAGATATAACAATAAAGGGAACAACAAATCGATGATGGCCAGATATAACAATAAAGAAAAGAAAAAATGGATGATGGCCAGATATAACAATAAAGTGAAGAACAAATGGATAATGGTCAAATATAACAATAAACGAAAGAACAAATGGATGATGGCCAGATTTAACAAAAAAGGAAGAACAAATGGATGATGGCAGATATAACAATAAAAGGAAGAACAAATGGATGTTGGCCTGAAAAAACAAAAAGAGAAGAAAAAATGAATGATGGCCTGATATAACAATAAAGGGAAGAAGAAATGGATAATGGCCAGATATAACAATAAAGGAAAGAACAAATGGATGATAGCCAGATATAACAATAAAGGGAAGAACAAATCGATGATGGCCAGATATAACAATAAAGGAAAGAACAAATGGATGATGGCCAGATATAACAATAAAGGAAAGAACAAATGGATGATGGCCAGATATAACAATAAAGGGAACAACAAATGGATGATGGCCAGATATAACAATAAAGGGAAGAACAAATGGATGATAGCAGATATAACAATAAAGAGAATAACAAATGGATGATGGCAGATATATCAATAAAAAGAAAAACAAATGGATAATGGGTAGATATAAAAATAAAGAAACGAACAAATGGATGATGGCCAGATATAACAATAAAGGGAAGAACAAATGGATGATGGCCAGAAATAACGACAAAAAGAAGAAAAAATGGATGATGGCAGATATAACTATAAAAGGAAGAACAAATGGATGACGGCAGATATAACAATAAAAGGAAGAACAAGCGGATGATGGCCAGAAATAACAATAAAGCAAAGAACAAATGGATGATAGCCAGATATACTAATAAACCGAAGAACAAATGGATGATGGCCAGATATTACAATAAAGATAAGAACAAATGAATGATGGCAGATATAACAATAAATGGAAGAACAAATGAATGATGGCTAGATATAAAAAGAAAGGGAAGAACAAATGAATGATGGCTAGATATAAAAATAAAGGGAAGAACAAATGAATGATGGCTAGATATAAAAATAAAGGGAAGAACAAATGAATGGCTAAATAAAATAAAGGAAGAACAAATGAATGATGGCTAGATATAGCAATAAAGGGAAGAACAAATGGATGATGGCCAGATTAAACAAAAGGAAAGAACAAAGAGATGATGAGATATAACAACAAAAGGAAGAACAAATGGATGATGGCCTGAAAAAAAAAAGAGAAGAACAAATGGATGATGGCCAGATATAACAATAAAAGGAAAGAACAAATGGATGATGGCCAGATTTAAAAAAACAAAAACAAATGGAGAAGAAAGAAAATGGATGATGGCCTGATATAAAAAAAGAAAAATGGAATGGCCAATATAAATAAAGGAAGAACAAATGGATGATAGCATATAACAATAAAGAGAAGAACAAATGGATGATGGCAGATATATAACAAAAAAAGGAAGATGGCCTGACAATAAAGAGATAACAAATGGATGATGGCCAGATATAACAATAAAGGGAAGAACAAATGGATGATGGCCAGATATAACAATAAAGGAAAGAACAAATGGATGATGGCCAGATATAACAATAAAGGGAACAACAAATGGATGATGGCCAGATATAACAATAAAGGCACAAATGAATGATGGCCAGATATAACAATAAAGTGAAGAAACAAATGGAACAAATGGAACAATGATGGAAAGATATAACAATAACAAAAAAGAAGAACAAATGGATGATGGCAGATATAACAATAAAAGAAGAACAAATGGATGTTGGCCTGAAGAAACAAAAAGAGGAAAAAATGGATGATGGCCTGATATAACAATAAAAGAGAAGAACAAATGGATGATGGCCAGATATAACAATAAAGAAAAGAAACAAATGGATGATGGCCAGATATAACAATAAAGGGAAGAACAAATCGATGATGGCCAGATATAACAATAAAGGAAAGAACAAATGGATGATGGCCAGATATAACAATAAAGGAAAGAACAAATGGATGATGGCCAGATATAACAATAAAGGGAAGAACAAATGGATGATGGCCAGATATAACAATAAAGGGAAGAACAAATGGATGATAGCAGATATAACAATAAAGAGAAGAACAAATGGATGATGACAGATATAACAATAAAGAGAAGAACAAATGGATGATGGCAGATATATCAATAAAAAGAAAAACAAATGGATGATGGGTAGATATAAAAATAAAGAAACGAACACATGGATGATGGCCAGATATAACAATAAAGGGAAGAACAAATGGATGATGGCCAGAAATAACGATAAAAAGAAGAACAAATGGATGATGGCAGATATAACTATAAAAGGAAGAACAAATGGATGACGGCAGATATAACAATAAAAGGAAGAACAAGCGGATGATGGCCAGAAATAACAATAAAGCGAAAAACAAATGGATGATAGCCAGATATACTAATAAACCGAAGAACAAATGGATGATGGCCAGATATTACAATAAAGAGAAGAACAAATGAATGATGGCAGATATAACAAAATGGAATGAATGATGGCTAGATATAAAAATAAAGGGAAGAACAAATGAATGATGGCTAGATATAAAAATAAAGGGAAGAACAAATGAATGATGGCTAGATATAAAAATAAAGGGAAGAACAAATGAATGATGGCTAGATATAAAAATAAAGGGAAGAACAAATGAATGATGGCTAGATATAACAATAAAGAGAAGAACAAATGAATGATGGCTAGATATAACAATAAAGAGAAGAACAAATGAATGATGGCTAGATATAAAAATAAAGGGAAGAACAAATGGATGTTGGCTAGATATAAAAGTAAAGAGAAGAACAAATGGATCATGGCCAGATACAACAAAAAAAGAGAAGAACAGATGAATGATAGCAGATTTAGCAATAAAGAGAAGAACAAATGGATGATGGCTAGATTTACCAATAAAGCAAAAAACAAATGGATGGTGGCCAGATATAATAATAAAGAGAAGAACAACTGGATGATAGCCAGAGATAACAATAAAGGGAAGAACAAATAGATGATAGCCAGATATAACAATTAAGGAAAGAACAAATGGATGATGGTCAGATATAACAATAAAAGGAAGAACAAATGGATGATGGCAGATATATCAATAATGGAAAGAAGAACAAATGGATGATTGCCAAATATAACAATAAAGAGAAGAACAAATGGATGATTACCAGATAAAACATTAAAGGGAAGAACAAACGGATGACTGCAAAATATAACAATAAGAGGAAGAACATATTGATGACTGCCTATTATAACAATAAATGGAAGAATAACTAATGGATGATTGCCAAATATAACAATAAAGAGAAGAACAAATGGAGATTGTGAAATATATTGTTACCTGGACATCTTGAGTCATTAGCACCTGTTATTGCTGTGCTTGTTTCAGACCCTCCTTGTGATGCTTCTGTGCTTGTTTCAGACCCTCCCTGTGATGCTTCTGTGCTTGTTTCAGACCCTCCCTGTGATGCTTCTGTGCAAGTAGATCTGGTGTTTGTGGTGGATGACTCTAGTACCATTGCTCCGGATGTCTATGAGAAGAACTTTGAGTTTGTGGGCACTGTGGTCCGCAGCTTCCATCTGGACGAGAGCAGCACCAAAGTGGCCCTGCTGACCTACAGCACCTTCCCATACACTGTGTTCCACTTGACCGCTTCCACTGACCAAGTGTACCAGGTACAGCTGACCACTGAATGTGTCCAGTTTTTGTGGGCCGGTTTGTCATGTCCAGTTTGTGGATGCCCCATCTGTGGGTGTCTAGTCTGTGGATGTCTAGTTAGTGGATGTCTAGTCTTTGTGTGACCAGTTTGTGGGTGTCCAGTTTTTGGGTGTCCCGTCTGTGGCTGTCTAGTCTGTAGATGTCCAGTTAGTAGGTGTCTAGTCTGTTAGTGTCCCGTCTGTGGGTGTTTAGTCTGTGGATGTCCCGTCTGTGAGTGTTTAGTCTGTGGATGTCCCGTCTGTGGGTGTTTAGTCTGTGGATGTCCCGTCTGTGGGTGTTTAGTCTCTCGATGTCCAGTTAGTAGGTGTCAAGGTTCTCAGTGTCCAATTTGTGAGTGTCTGGTTTGTGGGTGTCTGGTTTGTGGGTGTCTGGTTTGTGAGTGTCTGGTTTGTGGGTGTCTGGTTTGTGAGTGTCTGGTTTGTGGGTGTCTGGTTTGTGAGTGTCTGGTTTGTGGGTGTCTGGTTTGTGAGTGTCTGGTTTGTGGGTGTCTGGTTTGTGAGTGTCTGGTTTGTGGGTGTCTGGTTTGTGAGTGTCTGGTTTGTGGGTGTCTGGTTTGTGAGTGTCTGGTTTGTGAGTGTCTGGTTTGTGGGTGCCTCATTTGTTGATGCCTGGGGATGTCCTCTCAATCCTGTGCACCAACTCGTGCTGGGTAGAGGGGTATCGTGGGGGGGGGGGGGGCGGCAGACAAACCAAAAGATTTATAGACAGCTGCTGTAAAAGTAGTTCATCATTGTCATTAGGTGAAGTGCAGACACACATGAGTGGTCAGGACTTTATCCTACTTAATCCCCAGAATTAGGGATCAGGTCTGTGTTCTTATCTTACCTTGTAGAAATGTCTAGAGAAATGTCACAGATCAGATTTATGGTTAGGACCATTTCCTCACCTGGAATCTTGATGGGCCTGCGAGTCTGGTCATACGTGGCTCTACAGACCAGCGAGTCTAGTCATACATAGCTCTACAGACCAGCGAGTCTAGTCATACATGGCTCTACAGACCAGCGAGTCTAGTCATACATAGCTCTACAGACCAGCGAGTCTAGTCATACATGGCTCTACAGACCAGCGAGTCTAGTCATACATGGCTCTACAGACCTGCGAGTCTAGTCATACATAGCTCTACAGACCTGCGAGGCTGGTCATACATGGCTCTACAGACCAGCGAGTCTGGTCATACATGGCTCTACAGACCTGCGAGTCTGGTCATACATGGCTCTACAGACCTGCGAGTCTAGTCATACATGGCTCTACAGACCAGCGAGTCTAGTCATACATGGCTCTACAGACCTGCGAGTCTGGTCATACATGGCTCTACAGACCCGATAGTCTGGTCATACATGGCTCTACAGACCAGCGAGTCTAGTCATACATGGCTCTACAGACCAGCGAGTCTGGTCATACATGGCTCTACAGACCTGCCAGCCTGGTCATACATGGATCTACAG